ATTTGGGCTTTAGGGCTTGTTTTAGGATTATTCTGCAAACATATTTCACATTGTTGTGCCACTTGCTTAACAGTGGTGTAGAGGTTCCAGGCACCTATACGCTGGTTCAAGTATTTATACAACGCTTCAGCTCCCCAGTGAGATTTTCTATGCTCTGCTATAACTATGGCTCACAATAATGCAAATGTGATTATTATTTTGCCTTGTGGAGTCTTTGCCCACCTACCCTTCTTATTTTCCCCACCTAAGTCTTCTTCTATTTCTCTCTGGAATACTTGGGTTCACAATCAATTTGTATTTCACCATCTGGGGCCAAAGACTGCACCTCTAATTCACCCCCTTCAACCATGCTTTTGGCTTCATGATCCCACATAGCATTACCCAATTCTTGAGCAGTATCTCCTTTCTGATGAGACTTGCAATATATGATAGCCACCTTTTTGGGTAGCTGCACTGCTACCAGGAGCCTAAGAATTTCTTCAGCAGGTTTTATATGTTTCCCTTGGGTAGACAGGAGTCCCCTTTCTTTCCATATGGCTCCATGGGAATGGACTGCTCCAAAAGTGTATTTGGAGTCCGTCCTTATATTAATCTTCTTGCCTTTGGCTAGTTCCAGCACTTGGGTTAAAGCTATTATTTCTGCCTTTTGTGCCAAGGTATTTGGGGCCAGGACTACAGATTCTGTTACCTGATACATAGTAGTTACCACATACCCTGCTTTGCAGATGCCTTTGTTGAACACAGCTACTTCCATCTGTGTACCAGGAGTCTTCAGCATCTTCCAGCTGCTCCTCTTTTAGGTCAAGTTGGCTGGAATAGACTGCTTCAGTTGTTTCCAGGCAATCATGTGATACTGGTTCTCCTGTGGTCCTGATGAGGAAAGATGCTGGATTGACAATGTTAGTAACCACTATTTCCACATCATCCTGTTCCACCAGAATGCCTGATATTTAAGGAATCTTTGTGGTGAGAGCCAGTCCCCTCCTTTTACCTCTAATACTGTAGATACAGTTTGAGATATCAACACTGTAATCTTTTGGCCCAATGTAAATTTATGTGCTTCTTGAATACTTAGCACCAATATTGCTATCACTCTTAGGCAGCTAGTCTAACCTTTACTTACTTCATCAAGTTGTTTGGAGAACTATGCCACTACCTTCTGTGTGGTCCCAAGCTTTGGGCTAGGATTCCCAGGGCTATTCCCTGCTTCTCATGGGAGAACAGCCAGAATGGCTTGGTAGTATCTGGTAACCTCAAGGCAGGGGCGTCCATTTGTTTCCATTTCAGTTGCTGTAATGCTCTTTCTGCTTCCCCATTCCAGGTGAGGTCTTTGGATTAGATTTCAACAGCTCATAGAGTGGCCTTACCAAGAGTCCATAGTTATATAACCGTAAGCGGCACCATCCAGTCAGTTCTTTAGCTGTCTGTGGTTGAGGAGTCTGACAGAATACTTCCTTTCCTGCTGTCCTTTGGCCAGCAGTTATCTCATATCTGAGGTAAATTACCTGCCACTGAGCTACTTGGGCTTTCTGTGGAGAGACTCAATAGCCATTAAGTCCAAGGAAATTTAGCAGACTAACTGTCCATACTGTGCATAGTTCTTTCATTTCAGTGGCTATCAATAGATTGTCCACATATTGTAATATTACTCCAACTCCAGTTTGTCACTCCCACCATTCCAAGTCTTTGACTAATTGATTTCCAAAAAGAGTGGGGCTATTCTTAACCCATGTGGTAACACAGTCCATGTTAGCTGTGCCTTTCTTCCAGAGTTGGGGTTTTCCCACTCAAATGCAAACAGCAGTTGGCTTTCTGGGCTCAAGGATAGGCAAAAGAAGGTGTCTTTCAGGTCAAATATGGTAAATCAAGTCAATTCAAGTGCCAATCTAATTAATAATGTGTATGAGTTTGCTACAACAGGATGCAGAGCTTCAACTATTAATAGCTCTGAGATCCTGTATTATTCTATAACTACCATCTGACTTCTTGACCGGTAGAATGGGAGTATTATATTCCAATTCACATTCTGTTAACAGCCCATATTTGATAAATCAGTCAGTTATTGGCTGGATTCCTTCTCTATCTTCTGTTTTAAGGGGATGTTGCCTGATTCTGCTCCTGGTTTGAGTCTGACTATTATAGGGAAGGCATTTTTTGCTTTTACTGGTATTTCTGAGGCCCATACCCCCAGATATATTTGGTTCTGTACTTCCTCAGACAGTCTTGAGCTGACAGGTGTATCTATGAGGGCTAGACTCAAAAGTTTAATTAGCTGGTCATCTCCCACTGAAAATTCTACTTTCTCTTTTTCAAATTTTATTTCCACTTTTAGTTGCTCCAAAAAGTCTCACCCTAATAGAGGTTCTGGCGAGTTAGGCATATATAAGAATTTGTGTATTCCCAGCTGTTTTCCCAATTTAAATTTAAGAGATCTCAAAAAGTATGCCTTTTCAGTTTGGCCAGTAGCTTCTCTAACAGTTACAAAATAATCATCTGTAGGTGTTAAAACTTGGTTTAAAACTGAAAACATGGCCCAGGTGTCAACTACAATTCTACACTATGTTGTTGTTTCCCTAGCCTCAGTATAACCAGCGGATCAGCTAGGGTAGATTCCCCAGGTCCCCATCAATCTTCTTTGACGTGGGCCTGTATTCTTCCTTGCCATTTCTCTGGACCCCAGTTTTTACAGTGTCCCCTTTGTTTACACCATGCACATTGGTCTCTTCCCAAATACGTCTTAGGTCCCATACCTCCGGGTCCCTTACTCTCTTGTAGCACTACTGCCAATGCCTGTTTATCCTTCCTCTGATCCTCCTCTTCTCTATTGCTAAACACTGTCCATGCTTCACCTAGCAGAGTCTCCAAATTTCTGCTTTCTGTCAGTCTTAATTTCTGCAACTTCCTCCAAATATCACTCACTGATTGTCCCATGAATAGAGACACTAACCGATGTATTCCTATTTCCGATCCTGGGTTCAGAGCAGTGTACCACCTCATAGTGTCTCGTAATTTATCCAAAAATTCCAAGGGGGTCTCCTTTGGGCCCTGCTGAATAGCGTATGAGGCTGACCAATGAATTGTCATGGCCCATTCCATTCCTCTTGTGACCCAATTCCTGTATTCATTCAGTAATTCTACACAAGCCTTTCTATTAGGGTCCCAATGTGGGTCCTGTAAGGGAAAGTCATCCTTTATATCCTCTCCCATGTTCCTAAGTTGGTCACTAGCTAAGTCCTGGGCCATCTTTAATATCAGTTGTTTCTCAGTTTCTGTCATGTGGCCTAACAGCAATAGGATATCACTCCAACTGGAATTATATGTTGTTTTAATAGAAACTGGAAATGTTTAGTTACCCCAAAGAATCACTTTGGTAGCCTTTAGCTACCACTTTCCATGTTTCAAGATCAAATGAGGAGAAGGGCACCTATATTAAAACAGGGCCTCTCTCTGGCCCCACCTCCTCCCTCAGGAGTGCTTGCACCACTGTCTTTTCTTTCTTATTCAGGTGCAAGAGGATACTGGACTATCTGGAGGAGCTTCTGATCCAAAATCTGCACTTTCTTCTTGTTGTGCTCCTATAGGTGGTTTATAATGCTCTGGCAGGTCTCACATCCCAAGATCCCCTATTTTCCCTAGCTTTCTACATCTCTGCCCTATGCTGCATGCCTAGCAACACCTTTTCATCTTTCCTGTTCCCTCTTTCCAATTTTCCCTCTCCAAAGCCATCACCCTTGGGGCCTGTGGGGGCATTAATCCACCATACGTTTGATATTCAGGATGATTTCTGAAGGCAAAAACCATCCGCATATGAGACCTCATCCCATTTCCCTTCTCTCCTTAAGAACAACATCAATTGCATCAAGGTATTATAATTCAATGTTCCATTAAAGGGCCATTTTTCTTCCTCATCTAATTTATATAAAGACCACCATTAATTACAATATTTTATTAAAGTCTTTCTGTTTACACTTTCCCGTGGCAGCTCTCCTATATCCTTCTGGTGAGCTCTTTTTCAATATTCTGCTACTTTGTTTGTCTTCCATAATATATACCTTGCAGAGGTTTGTTCTTTAGCCTATAAATACAACCTGATTAAATTGACAACAATAATATCTTATGCAAGGCAAAAGATGCAAGGGCATGCTTGCTCCACAATGAATGCATCTAAATTCAAGACAATTGTCGAGATGAAATTCCTGTCTCCCATTAAAAGAAGTAATGTACTTATGACACACCAAACACACCAAACAAGCAACACTCATGACAAAGTGGGCAGGCACTCGTCTGTGCTTCATGCCCCCCCTATACCAGCAGCATTCTTACTGATTCCTTACACCTTCTAAGTTCCCGCAAAACACCTGCTTAAGATGGCCTGAACATGCAATCCTATCCCAGTCAGACCAGTTTCCTTGACATTAACCTCACCAAAAATCATCCCCAAACCGTACCCAAGTGTTCTTTTTACAACTAAAGCATTCAAAAACATATACTGGGTTACATAAAACATCCTGATCTCCGTGTACAGGACAATAAGGGTTAATAATCGGTTAGACTAGCAGTCACAGAGTCTGTCATAGGCTTCATCCATCTCTGTCTCTGGCTGCTCTCCTCCTGGAGAACACAGAACCATGGATCAGGACTCCACACTCACTCTGCTGTTCGACTGCATCTCACTCAAGCACTCACCTAGCATTTTAAACTTACTTCAGACAGTAGTATGAAGTATTAAGAGCACAATAAAACACTTATCACACAATACACAGTACCAGAGCTTTACAACAGAGGACAATAATGATAGTTATGTCACATACTACTCACGCCACTGTGGCCAGGAGAACCCAAGTTACCATTGGTCAGGGTACAGAATTTACGCTACCACTCCTAATGGGGACTCAAACCCCAAACCCCCCAGGGGCAAGCACCAATGCTCTTTATCTCGTGTAGGACGTCTCCTCACGACTTACAGGTATTCTCCTCTTTAAATCCACATACCTGGTCAGCCCTGCTGGTCCTTGTCTGTCCCAGCAGTGATTGGGAAAGAGAGGGACGTTCTCCAAGAAAGAAACCTCGGGGTGTGCCTAGAACGTCCCCCTCTCAGCCTGTCCTGCGGCAGGACAGAGGGTCCCATCTGGGTCCCCAAACTGACATGCAGAAACAAACCCTACAACTCGGAGAGAGTTACAAAGCATGTATGTTTATTCCGGTGCTGGGTGCAGGGGGGATCGCTCCTTCAAAACCACACGCACCCGGCGCCGGAATAAACATACCTGCTTTGTAACTCTCTGAATGTCTCGTCAGGCGGGGCCGGCGGGGGGCCTTGGCCCGCCAACACGGAATCGTTGCTCCTGTGTGTAAAACGGAGCCTCTGCTGCAGGAAGGAGGGTGAGGTAATCTTAAAGTGTTGCCACTGCATGGAGGAACACGTGCTATGTCAGCGCTGTGGTCTTTTGCTTTTTTTGCACTTCAATAGGAACAAGTTCTGCGAGCTCTAGATTTCCGAAACAAGTTTTCTTCTCGCCCGTACTTACCTTCAAGTCTCATACCTCCAGAAAGAAGAAAGGTGAGAGATACACATGTAATGCTTTTGCAAAATAAACTTCCCCAGTAGTCTGACAGAGAGGGTGTGCATAACTTTACTTGCACGTATGTGAGTACAGGCCTTGACGATCTGCAGAGTACGGTTTGGCTAATGCATTTGTCAGCTTGATTAGAATACTGCCATTTTAAATTACAGTTTTAACTGTCACTTAGTCCTCGATTTATGCATATCTTCTGTAGCCAGACACTAAAGAGTTAGTTTACTAAGACTAAAACCTAGGATTTTGTACATACAGAACAAGTGGCTTTATATATCATCACTCTTGTGCATGTGAAAACTTTCAGGGAAGACTCAGTGAAGTAGGACAGTGTTTACTGAGAGGCTCTCAGGTTCAGAATCCCATTGTTTCCCCATGGAATTACCCGTGTGAGAGTCGTGGTTTAAACCCAGTCAGCAGCCAAGCACCACAGAGCTGCTCACTCACCCTCCCCCACCCAGGGGATGGGGAAAAAATTGCAGGGGTAAAGGTAAGGAGACTCATAAGATAGAAACAGCTTAATAATTGAAATAAAATGTTATTATAATAATAGAAAATACAAATAGGTAATGCACAATGGTTACCAGCCACCAATCAATGCCCATCCTTTTCCCAGCTAGCAATCCCGAAGAAGAGGAAATCCCGAAACTGGAATCCTGAAAGTGAGAAACCCAGCATCCCGGCCAACCCTCCTCTATACTGGGCTGGATGTTATGCGATATGAAATACTCCATTGCCCATTTTCGGTCCATTTGCTTTGGCTGTGCTCATTCCCAGCTTCTTGTGTATCTACATGCTAGCAGATCATGGGAGATGGAAAAGTCCTTAATCTCCTAGCAGTGACTGAAACTATGTGTATTATCAACAATCTTCTCGTACAGAATACCATACTGAATCCAAAACCCTGCACTGTTCTAGCTACTAAGAAGAAAAGTTAGCTCTGTCCCAGCCAAAACCAGGACAGTGGGTCAGTTACAGAGGGCTGGGGCACAGCTGATGCTCTGTTCTTAGCCCAAGTATGTAACTCTCCCTCAAGGCCAGGATCTTGTTCTTCTGGTAGATGGCTGGGTTTATAGACAGTTTCTAACACAGCTCCCACTGTGACTACCTGCTTCAGGATGTTGAGGGAAACCTTCCCAGGCCACCGCAAGTACCTTATTTGGTTGGCCTTTTTTTTTTTAATCCCTCCCCCTCCACTTACCAGCAGCTGCTTCACATAAAGCAAAACCAGTCTTTTTGTAATTCACAAGATAGATTGTACTTCTTCAGTAATTCACTATCAGTTTACAGTTCTCTGTTTTCAACCAGTGCCCATATTTTCCAGGCCTTTGCTATTTCTCACACTTCAGCAGTATATTACAAGGAGGTATCCGTTACCAAGCTCCAGTTCAGTCACCATGTTCTCATAACAATTTGATAATGAGCCTAAGAGGCTAGCCGAGGGCTTTGCAGAGTTAATGTAAGACATAGCTAGCCTAAGGCCTGTGGCCTGTTACTAGCAGTGACAATACTTTTACCAGGCCGCTGGGTACAAAAACATTTCTACAGTTATACTGTATTACTTGGCTTGTGCTTGAATTCAAACCAACCTAATACAGCAGTTTTCTTAGGCTCTGCTTTGGCCACACTAACCATCCACCTGTCTAGACAGCTTGACAAAGGGGATCTTGTCAGTGGTGTGGCCAGTTCAGAACTGCAAATAGTATTTAAAATGCAGGTTAACCATGAATATGTTCAGTGGTGTGGTTGTATCTTCTGTTTGTTCTTGTTCCTTTCCTAGAATTTTCAAACATTCAATACACTGCTTAAGCTGCTGCTGAACACAGAGTCTGTTTTCATGGGATTGTCAATCATAACATCAAAATCTTAATTGTGGGTGGTGGTAGTCACATGCTTTTACACATATACATCTTAGACAACTAGGATTGCTTTCTCCATTTATATCACATTATATTTGTCTTCACTGAATTTTTATCTGTAGTCTTATTGTCTGTTCACTTGATTATTTTTGTTTAGGGTCGTTTTCCAATTCTTTATAGTAAATTTTCATCTTTATTGCCCTAAACGCCTTCAGCAGACTTTCCCACCTTACTAATACTAATACGCTAGTGCTGCTATGTTTCATCTGGGGTTTGAGGTTGATGTAGTGCTTGTTTGGATAATTTGTTGAGAATCATCTGCTTCATTTTTGTAGAAGGCGTAGCACAAGGGCATATGCTATGAGAATGTTTTTTTGTTTGTTTTGAACAAAAGTGCTAATTGAAGCAACAATCTGTACTTGAATTTCCCAGCAGTAAAATGAGGCTATTCTGAGACTTTCCAAATGTTGTATTGTAAAAGTTTGAAATTTTTATTAAATTTTAAGTTCTTCAGAAATATGTTTTATCCACATCACAGCTATAGCTATGTAACTTTAAACTGTGGTGCTGAAGGATTAAGTAAGATTACCCACATAGCTGCAAAACATTTTCAATAAATTTCTGTTTTGGTAAGAACACATAAGTACATGTTACATGCCATTTTACAGGCTTATTTTGATTTTGTAAATAAAGAGAAGATTTCAGAGCAAGTGAATTTTTAATGTACATAGTACACAGTTTTAATGTGGGCTTTGCATGAAGTCTACTCATAACTGATATGATCAAGATAATTTAGTCTTTCTCTTCAGTGTTTGTTAAGAAGCAGTTGGAAGCACAAATATCTACTGTGCTTTGTCAGTTGGTTGTGTATCTTGCTAGTTTATGAATGCATATTAAATTAAAACATTGCTAGATAGAACCCTGTTAGAACATGAGGAAGCAGATATGAAGGTTAGAGATCTTGCTTCCTCTTGAGTGAAGTTTTTTTCCATAGGTCCTTGCAGAGGGACTGAGTTATTTTAAATGTAAATCCTCCATTGTAGTTTCTGGGAAGCAGGTAATTCTTATCTTGCCTCACATTCCAATCCTTTTTGTTGTATTAGATTCTTTTCAGTGATGTCTTAGAAATTAGATGGCCTGACCCTGCTACGGCTAATCTGACAAGATGTATAGACAACGGCAGTGTGAGGATCTCATCAGTAGATGGTTATGCTCACCTTTACCTGTCAGAATTGCAGCAGGAATTTACAGTGGAGTTCTTATGCAAAGTCAGCCAGTCATCTGCAGCATCCTTTTGCTCCTCTCAGAAGAACAGCAACTATCAAACTGGAGATCAGCATGAAAAATTAAGTAAAAGTTCTGTTGCAGACACATTATCAAAACAAACAAGAATAGAGAATAAGAAGAATGAACCAACCAAACCAAAGGACCAAAAAGGCAGAGATGGAGTCCCTTTGTTTCGCTCAAACTGTTCTTCTGAATATACATGGGTTACACAGTGTTGGTCTGTTTCCTCTTACCCAGAAGAATGGAAATACCCTTTGTCATTGGCACAAATGTGCTATAACTTACATACTGTTAAGAATGTAAAGAAGACGTGTGAGAAAAACAACCACTCATCTATAGAAGCTGATGTTTTAATAGACTCCAAAACACATGAAACGGTTTCTCCTTTGCCTACAGCTTTGCCACTCAGCTGCAGAGCACCACATTTACATAGGTAATTTAAGCTGTTTACTTTGTAGTTTTTAACATATGTTTTACAGTTCTGCAATTTGGAACTTCAACCTCTACAAAAATTACTGAAATCTAGCTATAAAAAATTTTAGAATTACTGTAATGTTTTGGGGTTTTTTTTTTAGGAACTTCTTGAAACATGAAATCTGTAAAAGCAACATTCTGTATCCTACTGTAATGACTATATAGTAATTACTCCACAGAAAAACAAATTTTATTTTCTGACATGCTGTATAAATATGAAAATGAAAAAAAGAATACTAAAAAAAGAACACAGGTTTTGTGTTGGTTTGGGGTTTTTTTTGTTTTTGAGAACATGGTACTTCTCAGGTGGACCAGTGACATACATTCTCTGTCAGCACCACTAAAAATAAGAAAAAAAAATGGTTGCAGGTTTGAGAGAACCAATTTGGTAACTAATGTGGATAACTAAAGAATCAGAGTGCTCTGAAAAATGTGGCCTCTTTTCATTTGAATAGGCGTGCATGCATCTGTTCTTGCTACAGAAATTATTACCTGCACACCAAAAAACAAACCCCTGACCTTCTGACTTACTGAGGCTTTTATTGCATTTTATACAGGTGGACTTTCTGTGACTTCTTTCAGAATCAAAATACTGAAGAGTATTCATGCCCTCAGCTAATTCAAATTGTATGGTGCCAGGATGTGTTTTATAGGTATGTCGGAGATCACGTGTTTCATCTTCGGAAGACCTCAGTTGTATGGGAATTATGTTTTAAGTTCAAATGTCTTACATTGTCCCTTTCTCACTCTTTGAGAAACTGTACACAATCTTCATCTAAGAGTCTGTTCACTTCTCTTGTTTGTTCATTGGACTTTAGATTTCTAATACAGTATATTTCCAGATCTGAAAGTGGGTATGTCTGAAATAAACAATCTGGAAGCACGTTTAAGGCTTTTAAAGAAGTGATCTGAGCTTCCACAGATTTCACTGCCAATTATGGTGCTTGCTTTCTTTGCAAATTACATTGTTCTTTTTGATGCTGAAGATGTCATGCTTTAGAAATATTTGTCTTTGTGACCTACATAATTTGCATGTTTCAGGCAGCTAAACTGTGGGTTTTCCTGGCAAATCACATTGTCCATATGGTTTAAAAAAAAACACAACTTTTTTTTTTTTAAATAGCCCTTTCAAATCTGTTATACAGACTTTGAAAATGCTACAGTTACTATCAGCATCTAAAAGTTTTTGATAAAAGCATAATCAGTCTTTAAAGTTTTAATCTTTCTGCCTAGTGTTCTTAATTTTTCTCAGTGTATTTCCTAAATTTTAATCTCATCTGAGCAAAATGTTTAGCATCTCTTCAGTACCATAACTCATTTCCTTGGAAGTATGGTGAGTAGCCACACTTAGTCTCCTAAGTCCCATTAGCAAAGACCAGGCATTTAACCACAGAGTTACAGGATTGGGTCATTAAATGGATTTTAGTCTCCAAGATGCTGTATGATCATGAGTAAAAGTTCATTAATTTTAGTGAAAAACACATAGCTGCAGTGGAAATGAAGACCTTCAGGTTGTTCAGGAATTGTTCAGTCTGAGTTTCTGTGTACTCTAGGTAGGGCTGGTCCACTAAGAGCACTGGATTTTTCTCTTTAGAACCACGATATTTTGTGGACAGTGAAATGAGCAGCTCTTGTGAGACATTTACCTCAACATGAAAACACTTTACTAGCTCGTTTAACTCCCATCCCCCATATACACATGCAAACAAAGAGCCTGGTAACACTGGTCTTTTATGTTAAAAGAAATAATTGGTACAGTCTGCTGTTTTATGAAACAGGCAGAAGTTCTTCATGTGAGAGTTGATGTTGAAAATAATTTCTCCTTAGTGCTTTCTTCAAGTGTACTAACCTGTTTTGCTTGTTGAGTGACACAACATTTTAAATACTTGTTAAAAATACTCTTATTTCTCTTAGATTTATCCATGGCAAGACAAACATCACAGAAATTTATCCTGGTGATGACTCATTTCTGAAGTCAGAGGGAGCATTTCTGGGAAACTATTTCATACATTATGCAATACAAAAAGGAACAAAAAAGGTATAGAACTTTTTAAAAGTATGTTCCAAACTCCTTCAAGTTAGCAGTTTTCTTAGTTTTAAGAAATTTGGCTATGTGGTCTGTGGTTAAGTCCCTACATTGGTAATTAATATCATGTCAGAATCAAGCAATCAATCTTACAAAAAATTAGATTATTCCTTCTGTTTCAGAATGTATTTTTGTAAATTATAGACACAATAAGAAAAATCTTATTCTAACATTTATTTCACAAGATCGAGTCTGTACTGCAGTAAGATTCTACAATAGTCATTTTTCACTAATTTAGGAGAAGTTTAGTCTTTAAACTAATATATTGATTAGAGTTTACTCTTCATGTACTTGGAAGTGTTTTCTTTTTTACTCTATGGAGACAGAACTTAGAAGATACAGGTTCTGCTCTGGCTTTGTCACAGATCAGCTGCTCAGCGCTAGAGAAACAATTTTGCGTCTCTGTGTCTGTTGTGAAGTTTCCCCAGAGTAGAGATCCTCTGAAGTGCTTATGCAGTGCTTTGTATTTTTAAAGCAGAATTAAGGGTCAACTTTATATCCTTCAAACCTAACCTTTAGTAATGAACTGCAGTCTACCCTCTGATAAAAGAACTTCCTGGTCCATACTTCATACATGGAAATTGTGAAGTAGACTTAAAGGATATGACTGCAGTTTTTTACTTTCAGTGAGATACTTACCTGTGTTCTGGGACAAATTTAAATGTGATTATAGTTGCTTTGTGGGAAGTCAGAAATTTCTTATCTTGCAAGCTCTTAGTACTGTTTTCATGCTACAGTACCTGTAACTAACTCATCTCCTTTCTGCTCTTCACTGCAGAGAGAAGAAAAGATGTATTCGGTAAACAGCCTACCTCCTGATGTACCAGGAACTCCATACTCTGTATCCTCCATTATTACTCAGGCAACCAAGTAACTTTAATCTTTGTTACACTAATTCCTCTGACTTTGAAAGGACAGTAGTTGAAATTACACATAATACTTATTATGACATCAAATATAAAAATTAAAGAAATTTATATTATCACTGAAGATGTCTATAAACTTACAGAATAAAAGTTGCAAGAGTTTAGAAGACATAATAAGTATGAAATGCTTAATACTTTGTTTTTTTCTCCTCAGAATACTTCAGTTCTGCTACAAGGCTAAACTATCATTAACTCATAACTGTTATCTCTGCTGCTGGAAAATGGTATGTAGCTGAAAAATTATAAATCTTTCAGTATTCTAAGAATGATTATACAGGCTATAGGGAATAGGATCTAAACTAGAGGGAAGAATGGTGAGTATATCCTCAAAGATCAGAAGGTGTATATTTGGGAACCAAAAACATGCAGTGTAAAAGTGTATTTGTGAAACAGAAAGCGATTGCATGGTAAAGAGAGCTGGCTGTGGTCTGGAAAAACAAGTAAATTGAAAATCTGGGAGAGATAGAAACAGCTGTAATGGTATAAGTAACCTTTCCACAATGTATTTGTTTGATTCTAGGTACCTGAGTCAGATGGACGAGAAATGTTGCCGATTTTGCTGTATGAAAAGGTTATTCCCAACATAGGAAGACTCGTTGTGTACTCAGATCATAAAGTCCATGCTGCTTTTTGGGATGGAATGACCTTGAATATGGTCTGGGATTTCAGCTCCTCCTGTAGTATGATCCAGGTAACCCAGGAGTTAGAGGAATAACCATTCTTAAAACTCTTCATGAAAAAGTGTTACTAGGAAACTAATGAGGAAACAAAACAAAAGTTTTGATACCTATAAAATACAAACTGAAGTCTTTTGAGAAATTTGTAACTCACAGAAGTTCACTGCTGTGGCTTACTCTTGAGCTTGTATAGTAGTCTAAGTGAAAATACGAACTCTCTGCGAATGCCACTGTTAATGTATTGACAGCATTTTAGTCAGAAGTGAGGAGGAAGAATACTTTAGTGCATAACTGGTGCCTAAAGAGGCAAATAAAACTTTATCCTTTTAAAAAGTCACTCACATTGATCAAAGAAAGGAGTATTTGTTTTTTATTTCAAATTACCTATAATTGAGCAAATAGATAGTGAAAAATTACTCGAAAAAGTAACTGTGCTCTTGTGGTATTACATACACATTTTTAAATCTAGATAATGTAGATTATATTGATTTTTGCAAAATGGCACGACAAAGAAAATCATGTGAGTGTAGGATTTAAGGTTGACTGCTGGGACTTTTGTCTTCTGTGTCTTTATGTATTACCCTAAGGTGACAAGAAACAAGATGTTGAAGTGTCTGAGGATATCTCTATAAACAATATAAATATGATAGCTAGTGTATCTTTTGCCTGGTGTGAGCTAGCTCAAATCTGTATACTCACTCATGATAAAAGTAAGAACTGAGAAATCCACAAGTTTGGAAACATCTCTACACACTTTTAGAAATAATTTATTCTTGAATAGCACAAAACAGGTGTTGGGGCTATGCCAGGTGTTCTTTTTTTCCTCCATGCATTTGTCTTAGCAGACTATATTAAATTCTATCCTTAGGCTTTTAAATGTTTGAAGCGAAATATTCATAGATACTTATCTGTTAAATTGGCATATTATACCTTTTTTTTTTTTTTTTTTTTCAGACTGCAGCAGAAAATTAATGCTTGTAATTTTTTTTCTTCAAAGGTAAACAAAGATGTAGGCTGGTGTAAGTTAACTACTCCTGATGGGGTACAGCAGCTAATAAAAATAAGTCATCCTGGAATCTATGAAAGGTATGAAACAGTTTAAAGTTAAATATAAAAGAATTCTGCACAAATCCTTTTACATGAAATGGTATTTACTGAAAATATATTGGGGGAGGAAACCAAATACATAATGATAAAAGCTCCATCTTACATGTGGGAAAGATTGAGGAGCTGTATGACTTGGGACCACTCCATACTGTCACTTAATTATAACTGTTACAGTAATGTCTTTTTAGAAAAATAACTAGAGCTGCAATTTGGCACTTACATCAGTGGACAAGAAAAAACCCTAAAACTTTATCCTATATATAGCTGGTACCTAGAATTGGATAGCACTTAATCCAGTTTTTGCTTTATTACAGATATTGACCTCTGCCTGCAGATTGCTTTCTGTCATCCGCTTGCTCTAATTACAGCCTCATTATGGCAGTCATCAGAAGCTTACTGTGCTGCATTTTAGCAGCAGATATTCAAGATAAAAATTAACACTTGTACACCATTCATTACTAATCATACAGCTTTGTTATAATTTGCTATAACTGCATGGATTTAAATATGAAGGAGATTCTAGACAAAATGTGGTAGTCAAATAATGGCAAGGACACCTAGAGAAAAAAATAGATTTTGAATCACAGTTTTTTCTTTCAGATCCAGGTGTATTGCTTAATGCCTTCAGTTTTCTGCTTGAATTAATACAGTGTATTTCTTATATAAATAATGACTTTTTGTGAATTTTCCTGTTAACATAGGTACATCAGAACAGCAATAGAATGGTGCAGAAGTTTGAACAAAAGGAGGGACATTCCTGAATATACTGCACATTCTGTAACTGAAGAAAATTGGTATTCATTTTTATCCTAAATAATTGACTAAAGATAATCTTAAAAATAAAACTAAAAAAGACTATAAACTGTGAATTTTATAGACTACATTTCATAAGGGTCAAAATTTAAAATTGTAGGTCCATTTATTTTGTGTGGTTTCACGTTTTTCTTTCAGTGTTTAAAATGTTAGGTGAGTTGAGTTTTAGGTGAAACTTGTTTCATTGCATTTCTGCCTGCCTTACTTAAAAATCAGAATTACAATGACTTTGCCAAAGAAGGATTAACGTTACAGAGATAGAATCTTGCAGGGTGAAAAAGAGAAACTAGGGTAAGAAAGGCATCTTTTAACAGAACACCAAGCAGCTCAAAATTGTACTTTGATCTGCTAAATCACACTTGCATCTCTTGCTAATATATTTGTCCTTTTTAGTACATTCTACTGACATCATATACAAACAAGTTCAGGTATTAAAAATGTGTTAACTGAAATAAATTACATTTGCACTTGTTATTCAAATTGTATGAAAATTATATCTATATTTATACATATATACAGCAAAGAGACTCATCTTAGAGCAGAGCCCTGCTTTTTGGAAACATTGATTGTCAAATGGCAGCCATTGATTAGTGGTATGAAAGACAAAATAAAGCATTTTTTTACTTGCATTTTGCTCTTCTAATTTTCAGTATTGCTGCAAACTATTAAAAATTAAAATCTGAAGTAAAAAATACATTTGAGAAACTTTTATGATATTAAATCATGTAATAATGTTATTTTCTTGGACAGGTCTGCTGATGCTGAGCTCAAAAAAATACAGAGATTTAACTGTATCCTTTTGAAAGCTGTAAAGATTTTTCACTTCTGTTGTTCATCTGCATATTCAAATCTGCACTTTAGATCATCAGAGGCTCTCTATCCTGTTACCACCTTCTTTTACTGTCTTACCGCTTCTTAAAATTACCTTTTAAAGCCATTTTCTGTTTTCTTATATTTTTTGTTTTATCTTTTATCTTGTCCAACTTCTGCATCACAGCGCCAGAAACAGTAACAGTGGCAGAGTACAAACTAAAATAAAAAATGACCAAAAAAGGAAGCCCTTTAATGGGTATTGAATTAGTTTTGTTAACACTCATCTGCTGATCTGTTCCTGAAAGCGGGGATGATGCAGTTGCCTTTGGGCTTGTTGTTGCAGTACAATACCTTTCTGTTTATCAACTACCTCAGTATTGTTCCATTGTGTTCAGCCAGCTCCAGAAAGTGTGCTGCGCTGCATGCGCTTAAAGCCACTCTATAATTGTCTTTAAGCCACAGTTCAGTTTTATTAGTATGAAAAGTGCATGCTGTTAAACTACAATGTGACATCAGATAGTTTCCTTTTTAAAGTAAAATAAATTGCAGCCTTAGTTAAAGACAATTTCTGTAAATGTTGTAAACATTAAGTAATACAGTTTTTTATTTTTTAGCTTTTTGTAATTACCATGCTATGAAATTTAAGACTCTGCAGTCCAGAATGATGAATACAAATATGGAGAAGTATTTTTCTCACTAAGAGGAAGAATTTGATATTTTTTCTTAACAAAGTAACACTAGTTTTATTGGATAATAGCAATGTTCTGGAAAGGACATCTGCTGTAAAAAACAATCCGTCTGGTATTACTGCCAGAAAAACGAAAAAAGAGAGTGAGTTGGAAGGAATCAGTGAAGCATGCGTCTTGAAGGCTTTGGAAGAAACCTCTAAAGTAATTCAGGATATTGAATCTCTGCTTGCAGCTATTGCGAAGTGAAACCTCTTAGCAATGTGAAGACCTGTGTTCTGTATCTTCATATGAGCTGTCCCAGCTATGTCTGAGGAGGCTTTGAGGTGCAAGAGGAATAAAGGCTGAAGGCAGAGTGATCAGTTGCCATTGTAATACCACAGCAGATCAGCAGAGTCCATCAGTTGCCATTATAATGCTATAGTTGTATATTGTGGGTGGGCAAAAAGAAAAAGTGAAACAATAGAGCACAGCTGTATAAATACATCAGGGTTGACAGTGCTGCTTTTAAATGTATGAATGTTTGTTTGAATAATTTTATTTTATAGAAGATTATGCAAGCAACTTGATTAACTACTTATGTGACTAGGGTAGGGATAAGCAGTTTGAACTGTATAAATGTGCTTTTATTCAGAAGCTTACACAAGTAGACCAGTACTGAGTGAAAAGTTTCCCAAATTCCTTCTACTTTACTGTCATAAATAAATATTTAAAGCGTCTTCAGCCCTTTCTGGTCTGTGGTCTGTCATCTTGGTGGTACATCATACCTTTAGTGAAAAAAATACTAGCCTTTTAACATTGGTTCCTCTTCCAGCACTTTATTCAATCAATGGATGGTTTGTGTTGGAACGGACCTTAAAGACCATCTAGTCCCAACCCCCCTGCCATGGGCAGGGACACCTTCCACTAGCCCAGGTTGCTCAAAGCCCCGTCCAGCCTGGCCTTGGACACTGCCAGGGAGGGGGCAGCCACAGCTGCTCTGGGAAACCTGTGCCAGTGTCTCACCACCCCCACAGTGAAGAATTTCTTTCTTACATCTAATCTAAATTTACCATCTTTCAGCTTAAAACCATTACCCCTCATCCTATTATTACCTAAAATAAAGACAAAATCAAGATCAGTTTAGAGGAGATATTGCTTTATTGTGAACAGGTGTTAGGTGGAAAACATCCACAAATCAAGCACCACACAAAAGAACTTCAAAGTTTTTACATGCTCCAAACTACATGATTACACATTTATTGTAGTGATTATTGGTTAATTACTTATCCCTTCTATCCCTCATTGATTAGTAACATGCTTGCTCCAATTTATAGTTACAATGAGTTTTCTGGGTTCTGCACAAGCTCAAAGTCTGAGGATTTTTTGGGGGCAGGATTCTTATATATGTAAAACAATTTGAACAAGTTTCCATGTGCCAGGATCTTTCTCTTCTTCAAGGATGGTAGCTCCTGATTAGAAGTTCCTTAGTAATTATGGTTGATGATTTGAAGAACAGACTGACCCATCTGATACATCCAGCTTGTCCTTGTATTGATGAGGAACATTGGCATAGATAATAATACATACCGTGTGTCCTTGGGTGCCATGAAAAGCATTTCTGGGGACTGCAATGTGTGATGAGAAACAGTTTTTCAGCCTATGATTCCCAGTAAGCAATACATTCTTTCCTATGGGTAGCAAGCACATAAAATTTAAGCAGCTCTGAGCAAGGCCTCTTGTTCTGGGTAACACTATCCCTACACCCCCTGATAAAGAGTCCCTCCCCATCTTTCCTGTAGCCCCCTTTAAGTGCTGGAAGGCCACTATAAGGTCTCCCCGGAGCCTTTTCCAGGCTGAAGAAACTCAACGCTCTCAGCCTGTCCTCATGAGGAAGGTGCTGCAGCCTCCTCTGGAACCACTCAAGCAGGTCAATGTCCTTATGATGGGGGCCCCAGAGCTAGACACAGGGCTCTACGTGGGGTCTCACAAGAGCAGAGTAGAGGGGGAGAATCCCCTCCTGAAATGCTGGTGTTTCAACCCCAAGCCCCAAATTAAGGTTGACATCTGGGTGATTCCCACAGCCCTTCCCAAAGAGGGGGTGATTTTGCCTTTAGGCTTCCCTCCAGGGTGCGGCAGCCTGGCAGGGAGAGCCATTGGGTAAATGAGCCACAGGTGTCTGCATTCAGTAAACAAGGGTCAGGTGTCCCACTGAGGGATAAAAGCTGGGACCACTTGCAGGAAGGGGCAGTGTCTGTCTGTGAGGTGGAGGCACTTTGCAGAGTTGCCTGTTGGGGAAGGAGCTTCTGCCTCCCTGGGACTGGGCCCCAGTCAGGTCTGGCCTTTGTAAACGTGGGCTGTGTAGAGATTCAGTATGTGGCTTCCTTGGCCTTATGTGTTTGGTTTGTTAACTCAGTTGTCTTCTGTCCCTTCTATGGGAAACTGCATTTCACCATTTATTCCACCCATTGTTGGTTGTGTGGTGGTGTTGGGGTCAGTGGGATTGATGTCAATTATGTAGAATCTGACTGACTTGTTTGTACCCCCAGTGTTCACCCATGTACTGACCCTTTTGTATCAAATACAATTTGGTTATTGGTTCATCTTTATGCTGGTTGTGCCCTTTATGCAAGGCCTGATAACCGGCAAGCCCCCTCCCTCTGCCTGCTGGTCACACTTCTCTTGGTGCAGCACGGGATATGGTTGGCTTTCTGTGCTGTGATCGCACGTTGCTGGCTCATAGTCAGTTTTCCATCCAGCATTGCCCTCGGCTCCTTCTCCTCGGGGCAGCTCTCATTCTCTTCACCCCTCGGCCTGTAGTGATTCTAGGGATTGCCCCGACCCACGTGCAGGGACCTTGCGTTTGGCCTTGTTGAACTCCATGATGTTTGCAAGGACCCATCCCTCCAGCATGTCCAGGTCTCTCTGGATGGCACATCCTTCCCTCCAGCGCGTGGACCGCCGTGTCGTCGATAAACTCGCTGAGTGGTGTGCACTCTGCACCTCGCTGTGAATACCTGACCGCTCTTTTTACTCTTTCTAGAAGCGTTTCTTGCTCAGAAGGGAGCGCACTCCCGCGGCGGAGGGGCGGGGCCCGGCGGCTCCCTG